GAATCAAATAGTAAATACATTCGCGCTGCACCATCATTAGAGCATTCCCTATTCATTCCACAACTGGAGGTGTTTGCAGTTTCACGACCACCATCTTCACCTCTTCCCCAAAATTCCCTCTATTTCATAATTTTTCTTCATGACTTTCCAAACCCTTTATTAACACTTTTACTCTTCATTCCTTTGAATCCTTTCTTCCTAAAGGGTTTCTCATATTTGCCATTAACACACTGCTTTCAAGCTTCAGATTTGAGTTTTACCAGACAAGTTGGGATTTTTCATGCAATAAGATATGAAGTTGTTAGTTATTTTGTCACAAATATGTCAATATGCAAGGGTAAAATGGGAAGTTTGGCCAAATCTTCATTAACAACACAGAGAGCTGAGCTTCCACTAGAGGATTTTAGGATGTGTTTAGAATTGCGGTCCTATAGTGGTATAGTATTTTTAGATTATATGTGTTTGGTAATTTTTTTTCAGATTGCTTTTTCTAAAAGTTACATATAGCCACAGCAAATTTATAGTAATTTTATTTATAAAGTCAGAAACCTAACATTTTGACTGTGGCTTTTATGAAAAACACTTAATATTTAATATAATTACAAAATTACCCATTAAAACCCAATTTCCTATAATTTAATTATATCATAATTTATAATATTTTAATAATGATAACAAATCTAAAAAACCTAAATTATTAAAAAATAGTAAATATTATCTATTTTAATAATTATATATCTTACAATATTTTTTAAATTTTAATTAATAATTAATAAAATTTATCATATTTGATTTATAATTTTTTTAAAAAATAAATAACCAAATATGAAAATAACTTTCAGTAACAGTTATAATATAATACAGTTCAATACAATCACAATCACAGTTACTGCCATAGCACTTCACAGTAATCCCAAACATACCATAAATTACCTTTAATGAATCTACACATAAAAAAGATTAATTAAGGATATTTTAACAATTTCACAAGGTCCTAGCATTTAAAGTTGTCATGCCCCAAAACCCAAATTCGAGGTGCGACAGACGCCGTACACCCGTGAGACGAGTCCAACAAGTGCACAAGGCTCGGAACTTATCACACCACAATCTGATACCATCAAAATCTGAAGATCAAATCTTTAAAATTTACTCTGATATCATAAAAT